ATTTAAGCAGTGACGTTAGAACTCTAATTCTCTTAGCAGACATCTCCCTTGGATGCATACAGGGGAGGGTGTCACAGGAGAGATCTCCAAATAAAAAATAAGTTTGACAAATAATACATAAAAATGTTGTGATCATGCCCAGATCGACACGATTAGTCAATTAATCAATGAACTAGTGGAGAAATCTCCAAAAAAGAAAAAGAGGTTTGTCAAATAATACATAAAAATTAAATAGTGTTATAATTGTTCTTTGTTCTTTCTAAAAAAAATTATTACACATCAAATTTAATATTACTTAGTTGATATTGTGTTCAATTTTAAATTTTTAAAGGTTGAGGTTCATTTTTCAAGAACTAAATGTTATGTATAAAAAAAAATCTATTTTTTTATTATTTCTAGTGCGTATTTGAAGTTAAACACCTCAAATACAAATCCTAGAAAAGCACGAGACATCATACAGAAACAAAAATACCAAAAAATAGCACACATATTTACATGGTTCAAATCTTGATATTGCTATCAAGATTTTACATCAAAGGGCCAAAGAGGATAACCCCCTTATTGTTGCAATTTATTATATTGATTTTAGGTTTACAATATAACACCTCGCACTTCTAAATCATATATTAATGTATTAAATGAGGATTAAATGGAAGGATCAGTGAAAATCCTGGAAATTAGGTTAAAATACAAAGAAAGGGTAAAACGGTAATTAGCCAAACACACAACCCTAGGAAGGTAAAATTGAGTTGGAGGTCTCAAATGATAAAAGTAACCTTGGAAATGGATTCAGAACGGAAAATTGAGTGGTTAGGCAAGTTTCAGAAAATTCTGTGAATAGTGTTTGTACCAGGTAAAAATATCGCGGTACAGTTGCACCGTAAAATGTGTCGATTGAGTTTTGAGCTCTAGGTTTTGAATACAAGTTATAAATGGTATATAGGACTAGGAAATATGATTTCTGATGAAAATTGATGAAAATTAGTAAGTTTGGAGAAGCGTGCCCACAGCGCACGTAACAACTTAAAACTGCAATTTCTTCGAACGATCGGAAAACTCCAGATTCATCTGATCAAGGATAGTTAAAGGACGATGGTTAATGTTAAAAATTAGAGTTTCTAAATAGGTTATGAAATTAGGGACGTTTAGTGGAATCAGAGGGAAATTCGAATTAGTTTGAAATCGCGTGAGGTGGCGGTGGGGCCACCTCACTTAAGTCACTTAAGACACATGTCCCTATCACTATTTATCATCACCTTCTCTCCTCCCTCACTCATCAAACCCGCGGTCTTCCCCCTCCCAAACCCCATTTTCATTTCAAATTTCCTTCTCTTCTAACTCACACTATACATCATCAAATCAAGTCATTTTTGTCTTGAAATTTGTTGGAAATCACCTTCCAAACACATTGGTGGTAGTCTTGAGCCTTGAAACCCACTAGATTTTGAGAACCCCTCCCCCCAAACCCGCGGCCGTTTGGTGTAGATTTGTGTTCATGGAGTTGTTTGGAGCTCCAATGGTTTAGTATGATGTGGAGGAGTCTTAGGCCTTGATATTGGATAAGTTTCATCACATTTTATTGGTTGGAATTGTTGATTTAATTCATGAGCCCTAGAGGCATTTTGTGTGATTGATGTAGTTAGAGAGCTCAAATGAAAAATGTGTATTAGATAAATGTCTTTGAATGATGTGTTGGAGCTATAAATGCAATAAAATTTATTGATGAAAAGTTATGATAACTTAGTAGAAATTTTGGATGATGCCATGAATTTGTGAAATTTTGATTGTTGTTAGGATTGTGTAATTGGATTGTTGGATGTTTATATGAGTTAATAATAGGATTGTATGAGGTATAGAACAGTTGAATTGAAGTGAATCACCTTTGGTGTGAGGCATGATGCATTTCAGCCTAGTGAGGGAAAATAAGGATTGGATGTTGTAAAATTAATTGGTTGATGTGTTGTGTTGTTAAATTGCAATTAGAAGGGTTGTGTGATGTTTGGATGTTTTGGAAATCAAAGGAAAAATGGTTGGTTGTGTGAAATTGGAAATGGAACCTAGAGTGAAATTAATGACAAAATGAGGTTGTGATGATATAGGATGCGAATTGGCACCTAAAATAGCATTGTAGTAGCCTTAGGATGCTTAAGAAAAATAAAAAGAAAATGAAAGAAAATATTTTGTGTTTTTGCACTATAATGGCCGAACCTCACTAGTGGGGGGAGGAAAAATTGACGTTTTGTGAATTTGATGGTTTACCGTGTTCTAACGATCCAAATATGGTCGTTGTAGGTTGCCTTTCGTGGATTTGAACCCTGAACCGTGAGCTCGGTGGGTTGCCCTTGGTCCTGGACCAAGTGGGATTATGGTGAGTATTTTGGAATCATACTTGTTGAATTAATAAGTTGCATGTGTTTGGATGAATGGAAATTAATTGGGAATGTCCTATGTGTAGGCATTTCTGTTGTGTAACTAGCTCAAAAAATATATTGCATTGGAGCTACGTGGAGGTGATTAGCAAGGTAACCTCTTGGTACTGGGGTTTGATCCCCTTGTGTGTTTCACCATGCCCGTTAAGGGTAATGGTAGGAAGTGTATGTAAATAATATAGGATAACATGTTCATGCATATTGTATGTGTGTTGGTACATAAGATATACCGTGTCTCTAGCCAGTAGACTGTTTGCCTTCGGGCGTTACAGACTTCCACTAGATAGATCTCCATGAGAGAGTTCCAGTTGACCTGGGGTCGTGGTGTGTGATTCGAATAGGAGCACACTAGGAAGTCTCGGGTGGAATAATGAATAGTCCGCCCATGTCTAATATCAGGCCTCCTCGCCTCCTCCACAACATCACCTCGGACAAATCCAGGAAGTGGTACACCGTTATTTGCATCATACTGCATAGTGGGCTGAGCATCAAAGTCATATCCTAATAACTCTGTCCATATCGGAGCGGTCATCAGTATCTCCTTTTCGCAAACGCGAGATCTCAGCTCACCATGTACATAACTGAGATTATGATAGAAGGCCCTCACCATAACCTCTAAATAAGGATACAACATCTCAGCCATCACCCGCAGATGTGCCCCCTCCAACACTGCCACAATGTCAAATCCCCCTGTCATAAAGAATGCCGTATCAAATGATTTTGGCTGACATATGGGTCTGTTCACATAATCACATATAAATGCATCATGCACGGAGGGGTCATCTTTAAACAAATACCCAAATGAGAGGTCGATAGACATAGGCTCAAGCTCTTGTGGCCTTGAAGAAGAAGGCCAGTCTTGTCGTTGTTTCGTCCATCTATCTCCGTCGGTGTTGTTTGATCGTCTGCGGGCAGCAATTACAACAACATAAACCTACAATAACACATGATAATGTATCAACAACCAATAAAACATAATCAGAACCCACAATTTCCTCCAAAAAAAATTTCAAAAACTATGAAAGCAAAACCCTAAATCAAAGAACATTCATCAAAACCCTAAACTAAACAACCATTAAAGCATAGAATAAAAGCAAACATCATGCCAATCGAACCAAAGCCCTACCTATTTGGTCTACACTTCTTAAATCCGAAAAATAACAAGAAAAATAATGCAAATTGAAGCAAACATATCGTGTAAGATGAAGAAACTAGTAGGAGACATTGTCTTCTGAATCCACATGATTGGACAAAGATGTGTGGGCAAAATCTCGAGTTAGGGCTTGGGTTTGTAGGGTTAATCGATTAGGGTTCGTATATAACCTCCTCTGCGAAATGCAGGGTTTTTAAAAAACCCATACGGCGTGATTTAATCAATTAAATAAGGGTCTTAATTGATTAAATAACAGGGTTTAAAAAAGGTTTATGGCGTGATTTAATCGATTAAACATGGATTCAATGTTTTATGCTTTTTTGACCGTTTAATCGATTAAATCATAAACTTATCGATTAAAGGGAGGGGTATGTTGGTGGATAATTTTGGGTAAGGGGCAAAATAATTATTTTTTAATTAATGAAAAATAAAAGAGTCAAAAAACCCGAGGTTTAAGCTATAATTTAAGAGGCAGGATTTTTATACTTTTACTTTTTTTTAACTACCAATTTACTATCATTTTAATTATTATTGGATCAAAATTTTCAGCAAAAAATGGGCTAGTGAGAGAGAACAAAATTGTTGAAAAATTTGATCCTTATAATGATAATAATTTTTTAGTAGAAAAAAGTACTAGTTGAGGATTTTCTTAGAAATTCAGGGAAAGTGGAGTGGAGCAAATTTGTTTCCAATGTTTGGTACGAATAAACTGAAAATAATCTCATGATACTTTTTTTCCCGTCATTCCATTTTACTCATGATATTCCCAAAAAAAAAAAATCATATAATACATGATATTTTTATTTTCTTATAACATTAGTAGAATTAACCCAACATTCAAGAAAAATTTTAGATTTACCAAACACATTTCAATAACTTATCCCGAATTTTTTTTTTTCACCATATTTTTGAAAAAAAAATTTCTGGAAAAAAATATCCCAATGGATGCAGCTCAGTTGGTAACTTGGCGCTGAGTTAGTGGGGTTGGATATGTGTTCGATTCTCGCTGAATGCATTCTTGGGGAGAGGGCTGAACCTTTAGCCATCACTGTTCCCCCGCACTCCTGATTAGTCCTATAGCCGGCTCAAAGAGTCGAAGCTCATAGGGATACAGGAGGGAGCCAACTCGTCTCAAAGAAATAATTAGCATTGGATAACTCCAAAAAAAAAAAAAACTCCTTAATTATACGATATTTGTTACCATCAGCTCCGTGGCCAACAAACAAGTCCACTTATCCAAAAGAATTCGAAGTCAGAGGAACCATAAACTTCGATTGGTGGTCACATATACTACCAACACTGTCATGTAATTTTAAAGAAACCAATGTATGAAAAGCAAAAAAGGACAAGAAGGCATTATATCCGGAATTGATAATCGTTACTATTTTTTCTCTCTCTAAACTCTCTCTCTCTCTCAATTCCCCAAACCAAACCCGAGCTTACTTTTCACCTCGACAAGATCTATCCTGGTACTGCACTCTTTCTCCCTCTTTTTCTCTTTTCTTGTTCATTTCCTTTCAAAGTTTGAATCTTTAAGCTGTTTTCTTATCTGGGTTTTCAGCGAAAATTTATTTTTTTCCTTTATATCTGTGAACTCCATGGACAAATCTATGCAGTTTTTTCATCTGGGTCTTTTGCTTTTTGCCAAATTTTTGGGTTAAAAGTTTTTTTTTTTTGTGTGTGTGTGTTTATTGAATGTTTGAAGTTTTAAATTTTGTTAGATACAATCTCCATGGAGGAACCAGAGAAGGGGTTATCTACTCGTGGGACTTCAGAGTCAACAGTGACCCATGATGAGAAAGCGGGTGTTGAAACCCTAGAGGGGTCTTTGGTTTGTGGGGGTCAGGTTCAGATTGAGGGTTCGTTCTCAGGGGAGTTGGTTGGAGATGGTGGGGCTTGTAATGGGAAGGATGTAATGGTTGAGGTTTTAGGTACAGATGTGTATATAGATGGTGTTTGCACTCGTGAGAGTGGTGCTGAGCTGAATGAGCAAGTGGGTTGTGGTGGATCAGTGGAGGGTGGGGAGGATTTGGGTGAGGATGTGAAGTCTGTAGGGGCAGGTTGTGGGTCTGAGGCTCGGTTTGAGGACTCTAAGGCTGTGGAATCTGAAGACGCTAGGAGCAAGAATGCGACAGAAGAGAGAGATCAAGCAATGGTTGGTAGTGACCAATTTGATGTTGCATCTTTACAGGAGGACTCTCTTTTGGATAATAGAGCTCAGAAAGAAGTGGAAACTGGGGTTAGTGACTCTTTCTCGGTTGGTAATACCATGTCCGGGAAAACTGAAGCTCCCATTGAGGCAGATGTTGGGGCTGAGTGCAAAAATGCACTGGATGCTGGTGTCCTAGATCACACAGTGACAAGTACTATATATGATAGTTCATTAACAGTTGGTTCTGTAGGGGGAGAAAATGTGCAGAGCAGATGGGCCGAAAAGGATGATCAGAAAGAGAGGAACTTGATTGATATTGGAGTACCAGGAGATGGAAATGATGTGACCTTGAAAACATTGGATGAACAGAAGAACATTGCTAACTGGCAGAACGATAAACTATTGGAGAAAGAAGCATGTAATTGTGACAAAGTTGAATTTGAGGAAAAGTTAAATTCAGTTGGAGAACAGCCAATTGGGATTGATAAAGTTGATGGTAACTCCAATAATATACTAGAAGAAGTGGTTGGGGGAACTGAAGTTGCAACAGACAAGCCTCTTTTGAATTCTGAAGAAAAACAGAGCTTTAGCCTTGAAAAGTGCACTGAAAAGGAATGGATGACTGACAGTTCAAAGGTTAGTTCAGATACAGGTCAGGGAATAGTTGACAAGGATAAAGAAGTGAAATTAAACAAGAATGTTTTTTATGCCGAACAATGTAGTTTGCATAAGGGGATAGAAATAGAAGTTGAAGATCGAAATGAATCAGATAAGACTAACATAATGAACCACACTGCAGAGATTAAAGGTAAGATCTCTGCTGATCTCGTAACTGCTTATTTTCCAGCTCAACTAGTCGTTGAAAATGAAATTGTAGCTGTAAATGAAAATGTTCTTTTGGTTCCGGTTAATGATTCTTGTAATTTTGTGGATGCAGGTACATTGATATCTCTTGGGAGTGAGAAAAATTTAGATGCAAGTGAAATTTCCATGATTGTAGAAGAAGACACTCAAATTTCTGACCAGGGGTACGTTGCACAGATGGGTGCTGGAAAGGAAAAATTCCCCGATGAGTCAAATACTAGGCAAAATGATGAAGTACAACCATGCGTTTCTGGGCAGGTTGCTTCAAATGGAGGTCAGGATATTGAAGTTGAAGAACTTAACAAAGCGGACCAAAGAAAAATAACAGATGGAAAAGTCATAAAACATTTATACATGAAGCCTGGGAGTTCAGAAATATGTCATCGATATTCACTGCCAAAAGAAAAGGAAGGCAAGTTTTCTGTGTCTGATATGGTTTGGGGCAAGGTGAGAAGCCACCCGTGGTGGCCTGGACAGATATTTCATCCCTCAGATTCATCTGAGAAGGCAATGAAGCATTATAAAAAGGACTGCTATTTGCTAGCATATTTTGGGGATAGAACATTTGCCTGGAATGAAGCATCTCAGCTAAAATCTTTTAGGACACATTTCTCCTCTATTGTAAAGCAGAGCGCTTCAGAGTCATTCCAGAATTCTGTAGACTGTGCTTTGGATGAGATCACAAGACGAGTAGAATTTGGGCTAGCATGTTTTTGTATACCTAAAGATACCTATGACACTATTCAATTCCAGACTGTAGAAAATGCTGGGATTCGACCAGATATAACTTTGAGACATGGCGTAGATGAATCTCTAAATGCTAGCTCCTTTTCACCTGATAAACTTATAGAATACTTGAAAATACTCTCCGAGTTTCCAACTGGTGGCTTTGATCGTTTGGAGCTTGTCATTGCTAAGGCTCAGCTGCTTGCATTCTACCGTTTTAAGGGTTACTCTTGCTTGCCGGAATTACAATATTATGGAGGTTTTGACAATGACACGGATACCATAAGTTATGATGGTGAGAAAAAGTTGAGTGAAGTTACTGAGCATGCAACTCCTATAATTAAGAAAGATGGTGCAGCTGGTACTGGAAATTTGAAAAGCCAAAGCAACTCTCGTCACAAACGTAAACATAATCTGAAGGATACTGTTCACCCCACAAAGAAGGAAAGAAGAATGTCAGATCTAATGGGCGGGACTCCAGATTCTCCGGGTGATGATTATTGGTATGATGAAAAGGTAACTGATGATTTGGTTTCACCTGGCCATTCCAAGAAAAGGAGAACTATTGATCAATATGCTGATGACTCAGGTATGCAAGATGGGAGAAAAACAATTTCCCTTGCAAAAGTTTCAAATACCTCAAAGCCGTCATTTAAAATTGGTGACTGTATCCGTAGGGTTGCTAGTCAACTTACTGGGACACCCTCTACATTGAAGTGTTCTGGCGACCGGTCTCAGAAGACAGATGGAAGCACTGATGGTTTTTCTGGGAATGGATCTGATGATCTCTTCCGGGATTTTGAGGAGGCTCAGAGGTTGAGTGTGACTGTTCCAACAGAATATTCATCTCTAGATGATTTGTTATATTCACTTCAGTTGGTGGCACAAGAACCCCTTGGAGATTATAGTTTCCTGAATGGTATCGTGAGCTTCTTCTCCGATTTCAGGAATTCCGTAATTGTGGCCGATGAATCTGTAAAAGAGATATTTCGTATGGATAAAGTTGGTGCTAAAAGGAAAAAACCACCCATAGCTGGATCACCTGAAACATTTGAATTTGAGGATATGAGTGACACATATTGGACAGACAGGGTCATTGACAATGGTTCTGAAGAGCAACCAGCACAACCGCCGCGGAAAAACCGGAAAAAAGACTCTCAACTTGTCCCTGCTGAGCCAGGAAAGCCTGTTCAAGTTAATCGGAGGTCCTATACCAGGAAACAATATTCTGATAGTATTAATGCTGAGGCTCCTGAAAAACCTTCTGGCTATATAGATGAGAATTCCCCTGCTGAACTTGTTATGAACTTTGCTGAGTTGGATTCTGTTCCCTCAGAAACAAGTCTTAATAAAATGTTTAGGCGTTTTGGACCACTAAAGGAATCTGAAACAGAAGTTGATAGAGTAAGCAGCAGGGCAAGAGTAGTTTTTAAAAAGTGTGCGGATGCTGAGGTTGCTTGCAGTAGTGCTAAAAAGTTCAATATATTTGGAGGGATACTTGTAAATTACCAGCTTAATTATACTCCAAGTGCATTGTTCAAAGCTTCATCTGTTACCACAACACAGGACCAGGAAATGCATCTTGATCTGTCCAATTTTGAAGTTAATATGGTCTAAATTGTTTGGTAAGTAACCTTATATTACTTTTTCATATACTATGTTAATTGGTTCACTTTAATGTGAAGGTTACATTATGCAATAGTATGGGGTATGCACAAGCTTCAAGAAGAAATTTGCTTGAAAATCCAATCATGGAAAAGGCTTCTTTAAAGTGAGATTGTCTGCAAAATAATGGTTATTCACCCTTCATTTTATCGAAAGTGCTTTTGCTCTGAATCCACTAAATTGATTTAAGGGTGGATATACCCTTGAGCCTTTTATAGATGAGCTCACTTTAGAGGAGCCTCTTTCAATCATCTTAGTTATTCAGCTTTAGTTTTGATCGGGTGGTTGATTGAATTATTTGATAACCTAAATAGACCAAAAAGTTTTAGGGCCAGTAGAAACTTTTAAAGAAAAATGCTAGATGATCAGCATTATAGAACACAATCAGAAGATGATGCTCAGGAACATAAGATTTTACATCCTGTAACTTAAGGAAAGAAATGCTTGTCCAGCAACCTGAGACTACAGAAGAAAAAAATTTGGAAAAAAAGCAAGGGAATAATTACTTGTTTGAACTATTTGATTATTAATATTTGGCTTTCCTGATGCCAATGCATCCAACCTGAGTTCTAAATTACTTTAATGTGAATAACAAGACGAAAGTTTCAGCTTGGGAGCAGGCATTCTGATGAATTTTGGATGGATTTTATTGATGTTCAATTGTATATTGGCTTGAAAATGTTGATAAGTAAATCATCTGGTTTCTTTGGTAGATAAAGGAATTTGAATTCTTTTCTTCCTTTGTTTAGCTAGCTTGGGCCATCCATGTAATTGTGACTATAAAGAGTTGAGACTTGAGAGTACTTTAAAAAAAAAAATCTCTTGTTTTATTGTTTGCACCATACGTTGTGTTTGATCTGGTACAATGTTTACATTTAGTTCAAATCGACATCTAATTCAAATGCAATATTCCACAAACAACAAATGATATTTGTGATTCTCATTTTAGGGATTGGTGACAATGATCTGGCGGCATAAATTTAACTGAAGGAATTGCTGAAGCAATTTTTTTCTATGTGGCTGCTGAAGGAGGTAACCAGAATGTTAATTCATCTGGTTGTCCGTATTTAGGTCAAGAGATAATTTTTTTTAGTAGGATTCCTTTTGTAGGAGCTTCATAGTTTGTAATCCTTTTCTTAGTTTTCTGTATAGTCAACTGACCCTCATTTGTAGTTGCCACCTCTCTCCTTCCAGATTTGTTTTGAATTCTGTAACTGGTTCTGTATCAATATCAATGCTACATATAATTGTCATCGGTAAGTATACATTCTCTTCAGAGGGCTAGAAGTTGATGCTAGTCATATCGGTTATATGCCTCAGTAATTTTTAAATGCGAGATTATGTTAATTGTTAACTTATCCTTGTAAAATTTAATGTTATGTTGTGTGTGTGTGATAAGATATTTTAAGACACTGATGAGTGGTGACTGTAAAATTGGACTAGGAGATTGAACAGAATTTTAAATACTTATTATAGTGAAATGTAAAATACTTTTTCAGGTAATCTCTACCCTAAAGAATGCTGGACCAACCCTTTAGAACTACCAGGGTTTTTCTTTGCGTTCAATAAGATTTGAGCTTTGGAAATGCAGCCCTTTCAGAACTTGATCTATAATCTTTAGGAGGGAGGGGTTTGTGCCAATCTCTATGCCTCATTAGCTAAGGCTGGTATGTTAGAGCTCTTGAAGTCCCTAAACTATTCCCTCTTTTCCTTTGTACTTGCTGAAAGTTTATGCTTATGTGTTCCTCTATCCTTCAAATGCCGGTAGCACCCAAATATTACTAATCGAAAGTGAAGATAAAGCAGAAATAAAACCACTCTCCATTAAACCATAATTAGCAAGGATAGGGGTGAGGGTAATCTTTGTAAATAGTCTTATTTTTATATATTTGCAAAAAAGTTATTTTTCAAATTCGAACATGTGACTTTTCAATCTTAAAAAGCAAAAATGCTTTGGAAATTTCAAATTGGAGATTGCATAAGTGGGATGGCCTGAATTATGATTAATAGCACTCGTTTTCTTGCTTGTGACAAGTTTTCCTTTCATCCTCAAACCTTGATCATGATTCTTTTTTTGATCCAGCTAGGTGCTTGGCTGTTCGATCTTCCACATTCATCGCAAGCCTAGATATATTTCATATCCAATTCCCCATTCTTAGTAGGCTTGTTGGCTTCTGTTTAACTGGGGTGTGTTTCTAATTTCTATTGAATATTACGCTGGTTGGATTTCTGAAGAGGATGGAGTCATGCAAATAGCCAGTGGTGTGAGAACTGTTCTTGATCTTCTCAACCATATCTAGCTTCGTAAGATAATGATCTTTCTCTCTTGTCAAATGGTTTAAAACTTCTTGTGACGTACACAGTATATTCAATTTGGTGGCTTGAATGAATGCACTCTAATTTTGTGAAATAAACTCTTCCATTAGAGACTTCATTTGATTTACCATTATCTTTATGATTGCTTTACAGAAAAATGCAGTAGCTTATAGGACTGAACTGGTTAATGGACTCATCACAGGACTATGTACGCTTGTGACAATACTCCCAGTTCGAAATTTGTTTTTTTCTGACAAGTGCAACCTCATCACTATTGTTTTCTCCTAAACTGAAATGGGTTATTCATACTTCTTCCTTTGTTGGGTGTTTTGTGAGATCTATGTTCATTTCCTCTGACCAATTTGGTTGCGCGTAATGATGTATTGAAACAGTGACATCAAGAAGTCCACAACAAACTTAATCATTTTTGCAGCGTCTCTAACCAAGTATCCACTGAGCCTCAGCACTTTATTCTTGCATTATCTTTAGATGTTGGTGGCTTGAAATAACTTTTTACTTCTGTATCTATCTAATCCATATTAAATGCTATAACATTTAAATGAAATGCCTAAGGTAATATGTTCTCGTTAGAAGAAGACTAATAGGGAATCTAGCTAGAAAAATGGATCATATAGAAGATAGTCACTTAATATGTGAATTACAATCTTTCTATTCACTAGCACTGTTTTTGAAAAGAAACAATTCTTTTTTATTTTTGTGCCTTGGAAAAGTTTTTGAGAAAAAAAATTGTGTTTGATAACATGTTATATTGGTTTTCTGATAATGAGAATCGCGTTTCATAACAAAACAAATAATAGAATAAAAAAGCATTCTTATTAAGCATATTTTTTTTTTCGATCATCACTTTCCTATTCATATTGTGTGGTGGTGGTGGTGTTGGTGGCGGATGTGGCAGTTGCTGTGGTGGTAATGGTGGCAGTGGCAGCGACAGTAGTGGTGATAATGGTGGCAGTGGTGATGGTAGTGGTGGTGGTGGTGGTAGTGACGGCAACGGCTGTGGCGATGGTGGTGGTAAGAGCGATGGTAGTCATGGTAGTGGCGGTGGTGTGATGATGGTGGTGGTGATGACAGTGGCATGGTGGTAGTGATGGTGATGATGGTGACGTAGAGGTGGTGGTACGACGATGACAGTGACGATGGTGGCGGTGGTCGTGTCAGGGTGGTGGTGGTGGTGGTGATGATGGTAGTAGTGGAGAGTCATTGAGAGGCAAAGAGAGATAAATGTTTCTCATTTTTGGCTCAAGAACAAAAAAGCATATTTTTTTTATTCTTTTTCTTGTTCCCCAGCACATAAATTGAACTGGTTCATTCTCGGAAACAAAAAAATAAATTGATTTTTTCAAATATTGTTTCTATCCATTTATTAGTCACATTGAGCCCGTTTGGATGGACTTTTTTTTCTTCAATAGTTGTTTTTTTTAAGAAAAAAAGCTCTTCTCGAAAAAAGTCTGTTTGGATGTTTGTTTTTAAAAAAGCAGAAGTCATAAAAAAAGTCAAAAATCTACTTTTTTCAGAAGCTAAAAGTTTTAGCTTTTAAAAAAAGCAGAAGTCAAATATTTTTTTTTCAAAATCAAATATTTTTTTAAAAAAATCTAAATAGGTTTAACTTTTGTAAAAAATACTTTTAAAATAAGGAAGGTATAAAAATCAAGAAAATCTTTTAGAATAGTTATATAAATTATCTTATTTATAATGGTTTTATTAACTTTTTTGAGTTTAGTGGCATATATTGATATATTAAGTCGACTTTACCTAATGAGGCATAGGTTGGGGTGTAAATAGGCTAGGCCTTAATTTAAATAGTCTATGTAAAATATTTTAGGCCTAGCCCATCCTGTTAGCCTTATATAGGCCCAAATTATAAGTCTGACATGACCTATATTTAATAAACAAAGCCTTGGCCTAGGCTTGTTATTTAAATCTATTAAATATTCAATAATTGAAAAAATATTAAAATAATATTACTTTATTATTCAAAATTATAAAATAATAATTTTATTTATTTTATGTAAAATAAATAATATGATATAGGCTGACCTGTTGGCTTATATGCCCGGCATTTAAACAAAAGCATATGGCCTATTTTCTAAATAGGTTTTTTAAAATTTTAGGCCTGCTTTATTTGATTATATTTAATAGGCTGATTCTAGCCTAATATAGGCTAGGCAGTAGGCCCATATAACACGACCTATCTCATTTACACCCCTAGGCATAGGTGGTTTGATTATTATTGTTTTAACAATTCACAACACTAAAAGATCTTTTTTTGTTAAGGGAAACATTTTGCAAAATTTTCTTTTCAACATTTTTTTTATTATTGAATAAAATTTTATATTAATTCTATAATATAGGTTCACTTTTCATTAATGAGATTAACATGAAATTTCATTTATTATTGATGAGATTTACATTCAGAGAAGAAAAATGTAAACAGGACAATTTTTTATTTATTAACATTCTTCATACTTTGGAGAAGCAGATCCAAATTTTCATACTCTGATTTAGTTCAGTGGCGCCTTCTGTGAGAAACGGTAAATTTTGATTCTCATTCTCTGATCCTTCTTTTTGCTAATCTTTCTTTGAGATTATTGTTTTCGAGTTTTGAGTATGAAATAATGGTGAATACTCGTCGTACAACTCGTGTGAACCAATAACGAATTCTTGATGGTCATGTTGAGACTTTGGATGAGCAATGAATCTCTTCAGTTCAAGCTCCTATTCAACCTGAACCTCTTCCACCATCAGGTCTCATCGACCTAGCAACCAAGGAACTCTTTGAGAACCTAGTGAAGGAGAACTAGCACCTTTGTCAAATAGTCGCAAATGTCACCGACCTGGCCCAAGCCAAGACTAAGGAGCTCTCAGCATTGACTCATAAGGTTAGTGTTGTCTCCTTTGACAACGCCTAAGAGCAAGTTAAGCTGCTAAACCCTTGGACAACTTTCAATCATATGGATCTTTATGTCATTCGCGAAAGTAAGATTTTGAAGATGATCGCTGATAAAACTTTTCCACGATCTATGATCTTTCATCATGTGCTCTTGATCCTGCCTCCGAAGATGCTCTAACTGAAACTACTCCTGAAGTTGTCCTTGTTCCTCTTGCCGAAAAGTGAAGGGTCAGAATGTCGGTCGAATATGTACTTTTCATTTTCTTTTTGATATTCCAGCTAGTTTGCCAGCCTATGGTTAATGTAATCTTGACAATAAAAATGCCAGAGATGAAAAACTGAGCGCAAATTAGGAAGACCATATAAAGTTGTCGATAAACTTGGGAATGACACGTGTGCTCTGAAAACATTGGAGGGGAAGGCTATCCCTAGAGCTTGGAGTGCAGACAAGTTGAAGAAATATTATCTTTAGTATAGAAAACAGAAAAAGAAAATGAATGAAAAAGAAAATGAAAAGAAGTATGAGAATAAAGTTTCATACACGCCAGCGACAATCTGACCACCAAATGTACTCCTTTTAAACATAGAGAATTCGTTTTATTGGACAAGGTCCCGTGGGTTTTACTCTTCACTTTGAGAAGGTTTCCCATGTTAAAAATGATTGTGTTTATCTTTCTCCTCCTACTCTTGATAACTTCAAAACGAAGACTTAAATGATTGCAGGAATAAATATCGCGTAAGTCTTGAATCCGGGAAAAATCCCCTCAAAGGAATATCTACAAGTTTGGAATAAATCCATATGGACTCACACAAAGCGAACATGCATAAAACAAACTCAAGGAAAGAACACAAGGGAAACAAATGCATGTACATTGAAGGAAAATGAGACATTAAAATCAAGAGTTCAAGTGCAACAAATGAAAACAAGATAAGAAACGAAAATTGTCAAGATTACATTAACCTTAAGCTGGCATACCAGCCAGAATATCAAAAAGAAAATGAAAATACATAATCAACTAGCATTTCGACCCTTCATTTATCTATCGAAGGAAAAGGGACAACTTTGGGAGTAGTCAAAGGCAGGACCAAGAGCACAGGATGGAGGATCATTGATCGTGGTAAAAGTTTTATTAGTGTTCATCTTCACAATCTTACCTTTGCGAATGACATGAAGATGATCCATATAATTGAAAGTCGTCGAAGGGTTGAGCAGCTTAACTTGGTTCAAGAGATTGTCAAATAAGGCATCACTAACATAACAACCCAATGCTTAGTTCCTTAATCTTGGCTTGGGCTATTTTCAATTCAGCTTGAGCAATTTTCAGCTTTGATTACCCAGTCTCCACCTTAGTGTTCAAATTTACTACTTGACTGGTGAGAGGTCGGATGATGTTAAGCTGAGCAATGTTGAAACTCTTCTCAAACTCGCCTTTCTTTTCAGCAAACCTAGATTTTCTACTTGAAGTTTCTTCACTATGTTTGTGGCCTCCTAAAACTTCAGATTGGCTGCCTGAAGATCCTCATTGGCAGGGTGAGTATTTCCCCTAGGTCCTTAATGGAAATATCATCATTTGTTTTCTACTTCTTCAGAGCGTCCATCTCACTCTGAAGAGTAGCCAAGGCCAAGTGTTGCTCCTCTTGCTTGACAAGGTGCTCTTGAATTTTCTCCTCGACTTTCATTGCCGGCTGGTAGTACAATTGCACCAGGTCGACGGCTCCAAAGGAGCGGACAAAATTTCCTTTAATGCATTTGACAACCCCAACAATAAATTCACGACCTATCCCCTCTTCAACAAGGATGTCTTGGGGACTTCAAGGACAATAGGAGCATCTACGTTATGCGCATACTAGGTAGAAAAAACCTCCTTGATGTTTGACCTTTGCACCTTGACAATAAGATCCTTAATGGGGAGCCTTAGCTCATGGTCTAGGGAATCATCGGAGGCTATTTCTTCCTCACTGAGAACCAATCAGGAAGGCTTTTTGGCGATAGTTTTATGCCTTAACTTCCATCATCCACTTGGACAGAAGCATGATTCTTCCTTTTCAAAGGCTTAAGAAGGGTCTCCTTAGCCACAAAAACATCTTCAGCCACAGGAACAAATCCCGGTGTAGAAATAAATTTCGGGTGTTCACCCCCTCTTCAACAGCTCTTCCTCGTGTTTGGTGGTTATATCA